GGCCTCCCAGAGAGCTAGGATTACAGGCGTGAGCCACCGCGCCCAGCCTGGAGAGATTTTTGTTTAATCCTCAGAAATTCCTGATGAGAAGGAAGAGGCCACCTCTAACTCTCCCTCCAAGGAGAATAAGAAGGAATCATCTCTGAAGAAGAGTCGAATTCTCTTAGGGAAAACAGGAGTCATCAAGGAGGAACCACAGCAGGTCTGTGAAGGGAAAAGGGGCTTGATGTTTAGAGCAGAGAAAGATAATGGAAAAGGGTAGTCTGACTAAGGCTTATTTCATGATCTATCATTAGAACATGTCTCAGCCAGAAGTGAAAGATCCATGGAATCTCTCCAATGATGAGTATTACTACCCCAAGCAACAGGGTCTTCGAGGTACCTTTGGAGGGAATATTATCCAGGTACAAATATTTTATATGGTGGAGGGGAATCTCCTGCTTTGTTCTGATGGGAGGATCTGGATAAATTTTGGCTTAGGCTAGAGTTAATATTAATTTTAAATACTAAAAAATACTGCTGTTTCTTGTTTTAGCATTCAATTCCTGCTGTGGAATTACGGCAGCCCTTCTTTCCTACCCATATGGGGCCCATCAAACTCCGGCAGTTCCATCGCCCACCTCTGAAAAAGTACTCGTTTGGGGCACTATCTCAGCCAGGTCCCCACTCAGTCCAGCCTTTGCTAAAGCACATCAAAAAGAAGGCCAAGGTATAGTTGAATTCTTGTTAGAAAAAACAGCTTTGAAAGATATTGGGGTACAAATGGGGGGAATATACTAGATTATATCAGAGAGTTATTTATTTTTTCCCACGTATTTATTTATTTATTATGGTTTTTGGGGACAGAGTCTTGTTCTGTTGCCCTGGCTAGAGTGCAGTGGTGTCATCATAGCTTACAGCAACCTAAAACTCCTGGGCTCAAGCAATCTTCCTGCCTCAGCCTCCCTCAGCCCTCCCAAGTGCCTGGAAACTGCAGACGCAACCACCACACCTGCAATTTTCCTGTTTTCTATAGAGATTGAGGTCCTTGCTCTTGC